GGACCACCATTGATATAAACAAGAAAAAAATCAAATCATATTTATTAAGGTCTTTTTTTATTAGTATCAACTTAAGTAGTTTTTAACGTTTTCATTAGTAGTATGTGCCAATATACTTACATAACTTTATTTTTACGAATAAAATTAAGTAAAAATGTCTAAAGTGTATTTAGATGATCACTATACAAACATTATACCTAATATAATGTATAATTATTGTAACTATTAAAACTTATATAAGTTTTAAATTTAGTATATATACATACATATATATATATATATATATTACAAGTGGATATATTTACCACGATTATTACGTTAAATTTTTATACTTGAAATTTTCTTAAATAAAAGGGGGATAAAACAATATCTTCTTTATCTTGAAATCCTTCAGGATTTTACTTTAATATTTTATTAAGGCGCACAAAATTATTATTATCCATAGAAAGGATCTGCAGAATAAGCATTACATTTCTCCCCAAACATTCAAAGTCTTTTACAACAAGACGCACCTACGTGGTTTGAATCATAAGTAGACACAAGATTGTATCCCTTACTCTTACTCGACGACATCAATACTTATAACACGGCAAAGTGGTCATAAGTATTAACTTTCACATAATCATCTAGCAATTATTTTAAGTCTAATAGTATCTATTCACATCAATTAAAAACAATAACAGTTTCATTAAAAATCGTTTAGAATTTCAAATTTGTTTTTTAATTTTACCATCGATGCCCATTAAATATTTTTAGAAATACGGTCCAATAATAAAAATAACTTTTATGTCATATTAAAAAAATAATACGAGAAACAAACTATCATTACGTAATATTCAAAAAATAATTTTAAACGCTTAAGTACACGACGATTCAAGTAAATAATGGTATGCGCGGGTTTGTACATTAATTGCAAATTTTTTTTTATCTATTTATGTTAAAGGTCTTCTCTTAAAATCTATTATTTGTGCTGATGAGCACGGAAAACTTTACATAGCCCCCCAAGTACTGTAGAATCGAACCTACGCACTTTCGACGTTTTACCGGCTAAGCAAAGTAGGCCGTCTAAATTTTATGTAACTTTATTTATAATATGTATAATGACATTATCAATTGATTGATTAGTTTGAGCCAATTAAACAAGTTGAAAACTAGGCGATGATATCAGTTAGATGTTGACGATACAAGGGAAAATAACCACAACCCGCCAGAGACCGCCTACGTCATGTGTTGTACCCGAAAATGACCTACATTTTTAACTGTACTTATTTAATGTTCACGTTTCCCGTCGATGCGTTCAATTCATTATTGAACATGGAGTAAATTAAGTGATTATTGTTGTGTTTATATAAGGGCGAAAATAACAGTGTCACCATTATTGATAATCGATATTTGAACCAAGGTCATCCAATCAAAATGCCCAATAGAAAAATTAAATTTCATTGAACTGTAGTTTTGTCCTTTAACCTTCGAAAATGGTATCTCAATAGTGAAGTGTATCTCGTTCAATACTATTCACATCGATATATTTTACTGCGCACAAGTACTATGATAACGAACTTTCCACACATAATATATTAATTATTATATAAAATACATAGAAATATTAAAGAAGATGAATATCGGCTACGACTGACTGGTGCCTCCCGCTGTTAAGTCTTTAATAAAATACTGATGTTGCTATAATATGTATGGATATTTTTTCAACGTGTAAAGAAATAACATTTTTTCCATAATATTTCTCATGTGGGATTAAATACGATCCCGGCCCCCCCCGGGCTGGGCTTAAATAAACGCATACACATATAGGATTATCTACACACGATTAAACTCTGCGTATATATTAAACGCGCGCACACACGTTAAATATATTTAACTTGTGTACACGTTGCTGGCGGGCGGCAGGCCGCCCGCTGAGAGGTGGTGTGGAATGAGAGAAGAAGAGAGACAGAATGAGGTTTTGCCTTCGCATTTCAGGCAGGTTCTGTTAGCACTACAGAGCTCAGCAGGAGATTACCACGGCAGAACCATCCTTCCACAGGAGAGGATATATACTAAGGACCAGAGGCATTTTAATATTATACACACACATTTTTTTCTCCGTCACTGAGCATGATATTTTATATAGAAATTCCACGAAAAATATAATTCGAAGTCACCCAGAGAAGACTCCAAAAGAAGGACAATATACCGAACACACATATTGTGAAATCAACAACAAATAATACACAATGAAGACAAAAAAGGTCCTTTTGGTCTTATAAAAATTTTGGGGAATAGTATCAAAAAATATCACTGGCTAGAGAAAGATAAAAGATCTACTGGCTATGAAGAGTTAAAGGGTGTGGCTAATGAAAACAATAAGCAAAAAAACAATGGTAACAGCTGTGGTCATTATAACATAAACGATTACATCGTGTGGCTATCGAGTATGCTCGAAGCCCGCGGCTCCGGCCATTACCTAGTGTGCACTTGAAAACATAATGTCAGTTATTAAAATATGGATATTAAAAGGGTATATACATTATCGAGCTCCAAGTATGAGAGTACAAAAATAAAATTTTAATAAATATCTGTAGTAAATACGTCCATAGTGGTATGCAAGTTTATTTACTGTAATTTAATTATTTAATTTATTGGTCCAAATTGTATTTATTTTGTAAATTGATTGTTAACATCAATAGCCAATGATGTGCGTATGTGTGAAAAAAAGAATAAAACATATATTACAGAAAAAAGTACAACAATTAGCGCAATACAAATGTAATAATTACTGTTATTCTTTTGTAGTTGTAAAATACATTTAAAACAGACGACAATAATTGTATAATAGAGAAAAGTATATGCATAACAACATCGGTGCAACGACCTATTGTTTAAACCAATAATCAAGCATGTAAAATAAAAGGGTAAAAGAAAATAGCAAAATAAAGGGTTAAGGATAAAGAAAAGTCATTATCTTTATTCACTAATGTTTAACAGAATGTTTGACAAAATCCAGTAGTTGTGCAGTATACTACATAAATAAAAAGCAGACAGTTCTTTTGGGCACATCCTATTTGTATCCCGCGCATCTAGGAATACGACAGAGGACATATTATAATAGTGGAACAGAACATTTTATAGAAGATTTCAGTATGCACGTTCCGTCGAACATAATAGAAACTAAGTAAAAGGTAAAAGGATAAGAACCGCAGGTAAGAGAGCTAACAACAATAGCAGAGCATAAATGGGGATCAAGTATTGTCAGAACGAAAACCAAAAACGCATATAATATAGAACCTAACACAGGTAAGAAACATAACAGCAAAAGAACATTGTGACTGGCCTAAAATTGTTTTTTTTTATGTCTATATAATAAATAATTCCACTGGTGTTTCAACGTTTGTAAAAGTAAAGTGCTAAAGTAAAAACAGTCTTATTCCTATTCCCCAGAGTAACATTAATTGGGGAAAAAAATAAAAAATAAAATATGAAAAACACGAAATGCAAAAATGAGGCAAGATAATAATGCGCTAAATGAGAAAAAAATTTTAAATGACAAAGGGCAGGAAAAAGTTCTGGTGCGATAAGGAGACTTATCACGCTTGATAGAGGCCTTACGAATGACACATTTTTCACTGTCGTCCAACCCCTCAGTCTCCTGAAAGTAATTAGATCGCGCTACGAGCCCAAGAGTCGTTTTCCCGCCAGCCACCATCAGGGGTGAACAGAGCAGAAAAAACTGTCATTATACACACCCCTGCGCGACAAGGATAGGATTTTAGTCGGTAATACCCTCCGATCCAGCACTCGGCCAGCTAATATAGGCGTAGGGAAAGCTACTTATCAGTAAATAAAATATAACAGTCATCTACGGGAGAAAAATAATCAAATCAACCGGAGGTAAATATCCTTAAATGATGATCGAGTTTTCATATCACCTTAACATTTGACAGAGAAAGTGTTCGCGTTATTTCGACTTATCGAAATAAAGATTTCTTCTTAAAATAACTATAAGAGATTAAGTCGTAAAACTTATTGATAAACAATAACTCTGTAAAAACGTAAATAATGCTATCGACATTAAATAATTTCTATACAAGAAAAAGTAAAAAAACAAAATAACGTCACGCCAGTGTGAGAACTACGTCGACGGCAAAACCTTTTAAGATAAAATAGTATAATCATGTTCCCGACTTGAAAACTCGCTGTGGTAGCGTGACTATACCAAAAGCAAAGTTTTTGCAATCCCTGGAGAGATAGGCTCGCTTAATAACTATTATGGTAAACTCAAAACACTGCTTAACTTAAGATATTCTTTCATTCGNAAGTTTTTGCAATCCCTGGAGAGATAGGCTCGCTTAATAACTATTATGGTAAACTCAAAACACTGCTTAACTTAAGATATTCTAAAGAGTATATCTAAAAAGGTTTCACGGCAATGCTTTAACGCCTAAGAAGCGTGCTAAATTGCAATACTTTTACACTTCTTAGATGAATCGGATTGACGCACGAGCACTTATATAATAAAACGTCTTAAAAGGGGATTGGTGTCATAATAATTTAGTTCATACTGCTCTTCATTGAATCTCAGAGGAATTCAAATAATAATAAAACACACAACATTAACTTTTAAATATTACAAAATGTATTTGCATTGTGTAACCCTAAAAATATTGACAAATAATACATCTAGGGGACGGTGTAGGTCCTCTTTGCGTACGAACACACGCGGGAAATAAAACCAAAAACACTTGAGACGAGTGTAGCTGAAAATCTGTCAATAGGATATGGTACTCGAGTGGTCTATGTACACTCGAGATTGAGAGGCTGTTGGTGACACACTACACATGTTAGTAAACATATGTTAAGAGTGTTTGAGCCTTCAAATTTACCATAACTAAACGAATAGATCATTTAAGGTCCTGAAGCCAGTAACGCCATGGTATTAAAATAAATACTACTATAAATTACTTATAACTATCATTTTTATAAATATTGAAGTCATTTGTACATACCATCTCCGTGTGGATCTCCCATGTTGCCTTGTAATGGCGTTCCAGGACTTTGAGTACGATGTCGACTGTCGTCTTGTCCAGGATGATGTGAATACGCTGTTGATGAACTGGGCGGCCTCTATAAAAATTAATTCCACGTTATAAATACAAATGTATGCAGTGTGAGTGTGTATTATACAAAAAGAGCAACGTATCCAAGATAATATTAATTCCGAGTGCATACCAATAATATTGACTATGGAACATTTGGTTCCCGTCAAAATGATACAGTCCTTTGGGACACACGCACTAGCACTTCCACCGATTAAAGGGAAAAGCGCAGCTACCGCAGTCACTTTTCGTGAGGAGAAAAGAAACGCAACCCAAAAAAAGCAATGCTTCTCTGTTTTAGGATCCCTAGAGAGTGATGGGTATCCCTCTTAGGGATAAAATATTTACAAATATTTCCAGTGACCTCAATACGTAGTTCGATTTAGCAATAAGCATAAATTGTTTTTAATAGTTTAATAAGTTTAAGCATCAAAAATTGTTTTAAACCTGTATAAAAATTTAAGTAGCCGTTTAGGCGAGATAATTCATATCTTATCATAAAACAAACACTAAGCAAATATTTACTAACAACTACATGACTGTCGCATTTAATCATAAATGTATAGTTTTGTTTGCTATTGCATCCGAGAATAGCCGAAAAGGTAGCTCAAAAATAGGTGTATGTTTACTCAGTATACAGATAACCAGAATCTGTAAAATATTGATATGTACTTACTACACGTTATATCATGCGCACATATCACAGTGGCTACCATAATATTTGGTTATTTCAAAGGATTAGAGACCAAAATCACCAGGTGTACTTATTTATATATTTAAAGAATCAACGGAACCAATTCTTACAAGTACTTTTTTTTGTTTTCTATCAAATAATTGTGCGACGGAAGTCTATTCATCATTTATCACTACGGAAATCCTTTCAATATAACCCTTACTGGAAACTACATGGATAACATAGAATATTAAATTTATATAGCAATTCAAGACAGTAATTTTTTAATAAAGGCAATAACCGTTTGTTAAGTTTCCTCTATAACGACCGATTTTTCTAAATATTTACCGCAAATTTAAGACGAAAAAACAGATATAAGTTCTAACTGGAATCTAAGATTTTCAAATGTAGAACATAAACTAGTCAATCATTTCTCTAAACGTCTACAAAGTATGATATATTATTCAAGTCACGATAGCGAGACGCGGCATTCTATAGTAGCGCAAGCAATTTTTAAAACATCATGGATAACCCTAAGAGTGTTCTAACATATTGATGTATCAAAAATTGAAAACGAAAATGTCATGTTGTACATAATGTATCAGGATAGGTTAGATCTCTAAACGTAATCATTTATTGATGGTACACTACACACTAGGCACTTTACTTTTCAACCTTGTTCATTTCTTTACAGGCTATCAACTAAAGAGACGCACAATGTTCATTCAATATTATCGATCTATACTCAATTAATTATTCGGTAACCTAACACCAAGTATAAATATAGAGTTTGACAATTCAGAACAATGAATTTATAATAAATGACAAACGTCGCAAATTGTGCGACGGCAGTAATTGAAATGGCTTTAGCTTTGCTATCAGTGAATAAAAAAATTTAATTTTGCATGAAGTCAGTCCCAAAAACCATACATAACACGTATGTTTTAACACAAAAATTCTACAAAAATTAAAAACTTATTTTGTACGTGTCTAAAAAATAGTATTTTAGGTGTCCCTCTGATAATACGGTGATGTTATTCAGCTGAATTAGATTATGTACCGGTAATGGTTTTTAAATCAAATCAATGTGTTCAGCTATCGTTTTGTTCACGACCATTTACTACGGTTGACAGCTTAAGTTCTCATTTCAAGTACACTTTGTAAAAACAAATAAATCCTAAAAAATATACCGTTTAGGTTTTTATATGAAAATCTTCCCCACAGATGCTTTTTAAAATATTATTTAATGAACGTTTATGAATTTCAGTCGACAAAAAATAAGCTCTATTTCCATTATTACTGTGGACAACACTCGTAGAAAATAATAGTACCTACGTGATTTTAAGCTGTGTGCACAAGTTTGCGTCACGCGTGTGTATGACAGCAAACCGAGGGAAGTACTACACATAGTTTGCACTATATAGTTAACGTACATATACATAGGGTCGCCATGGCTGTTGACGATAGTAGCTCGTGTGCTAAGAATAATATTACAAGTCTGAATTTGACACCGTAGCTGGACCCACGGCTAGTAAGTACGCGTGCACTGTGAGCGAATGACTCGTCATTTGCAGGCATAATTTTTCGCCAAAATAAATACATACAACAGAGGTCTACACAGACGGCCGGCCACGTGTTTCCCACCCCAATTACACAGTATTGTGTATAATGGTGTGGGAAAAAGCGAGAGAAAATCGCCATCTCCCTTTACAGCTTACATACGCCCAACCACTCATCGAGCGTTAAAATTATAAACAACCAGCATAAATGGTAGAAAAAAAAAAAAACTTTTACAATCGTATGAATGCACGGTAATGAAATCCAATGAAACTACAGAAATTATTGTTTTACACGATATGCCATAGTATGTATTTGTTCAGGTGCTTATTACGGGTGACAGATTAAAGGATATTGTACTCGTGTATATTCAGGTGTCGAAAAAATCTTCCTGTCGGTGTTTATTTTCGTCTCATAAATTATGAAAAATTTGTCAACGCAAGCCTCTGGATTGTTAAAAAAGTGTAATAAATAACGTTTGTTAGGAAATTAAATACCGTATTTATTTAGGTGTATTGGAGTATGTAGTGATAAATACTGATTGGTGACATTAAATAGAGAGGAAAAAAAAATTCGACATGAATTTAGACGGTTAGACATATTAATTAGTAGTGGCAACGACTGATTGACACCAGAATTTAAGGGAAAAAACAGAGGTGCGCGCGTGGAGATCTGTGATCTTTGCATTCCATCGGCTACGACGTATGCGTTCGTCTCTCGTAACAATACATCGGTATGTACGGAACGCGCAGTAACACACACGGGCAAGCATTCTGTGGCCGCCAGTTCGTATGTTGTGCCGGTCATCGGTTTTAATTGGACCAAAAACTAAAAAACCCACACAACGCACACGCGCACCAGGTGTCTAAACTAACAGACAATATAAGGATTTGAATTTGTTATTTTGCTGATGAATATTGATACGAAAAAGTGTTATTTAATCAGAGGTCGAAAACACAATAAATAAATAATATTGTTTGTTTCTAACGCACATGGTGTACATTGCATGTATATTGTATTATTCACCAAGTATGCAGAGGGGACGGGAGTTTTCAATAAAATAACCCGGCATGAAGTACCCACACACAGGGTGCATAATTTAGCGAGACAGCTAGAGGATCGTGTCCCGAGTCGGTAAAATATTCAACATGTTCTATACAAGTGAATTGAAAAACTTTGAAAACTTTGTAATCGTTCCCTGGGAATCACCAAAATAATATTACACCAAGTTATGGAATATATTTTACCAGTTAGTAATAGAATTTTAATATTTAGAGTAGTTGATAATTTCTTTAGAATCTCCCCTTTTAAAAACAAGACGGAACACTACACAAATTATGACACATAATATGCATTACCAGTGTGATTATCTTTAAGCGGAATAAAATTACATGCAAGAGGAAAACAGATTAAACAGAACGCTCAATGATTTTGTGTTGTACTCCTTACAATTTATAACCCCAACAATGCACACACTGAATTTACCTACAGTTTAAAATGCTCTTAAAAACGCATCAGGGTCACAACCTACACATTACATTCAATTTATTACCTATTTAGGGTTTAGTTTGTATTTCATTGTACAAGTAGTATTTTAATAAAACGGTTAGTGTTTTATTGCTCTATTACAGCTACTACTCGATGCAAGTGTAACATCTATAAAGTCGACTACATCATACAAAACACACCATTTCGTTATAAATAAAAAGCAATATTTATGCCGGAACTGTGCTAATTAGCAACATGTCTTAACGTCTGACTAATCGGACCTTCCCCTATCTAATATCGCAACGGATCAAATTTAGTGGAAACCCACCGATATATACCACCCCGAACAGTTATAATCGGATTACTACGTCGCCCCCTGGAGTGATGGACACCCGTCACTAAACTGCCGCACTAGTATTTGCCCACCCTGGTAGCCAAACACTTAGTGTAATTGTACGTAAACCGCTAACGCCTAAGTGCAATTATCGCGGTGTAATTTGATGAAAACCTTTACGTAATATAATTTTTGCAGTTGTTCATGCACACGACGGACTTGAGATAATATCATTACTAGATGATTTATTATAACGTGAAAGTAACAGAATTACTTACCGAAGAGACAGCCGGTCCGAGATAAAAAGTGCATCGGGGAACATTGTAAATCCAATGTAAAACGGCCATGATTGACACTTGGATTTACATTAATAACAATCGGATATTCGATATGATTACACCACCGTTTACCCATCCTAATGGTGTACCGTAAATTATCATATTATTTTTAATACAATTTTCATCTACCACTCGACAGTTTTGCTGCTTTGTAGCTTCTATAACTTAATGCCGTAAGTGTATTCATATTCAACGCAGGTACCAACTATGTAATGTATAATTCACGACTAAAAACACGTCAATACCAGTTTTTGTCACCCCCGCAAATGTTAACGCAATGGCGTTACCGATGAACCTTTTTATCTGACACAGTAGAAACAAATTCACACCGCACTAAAATAGAGCCAAAAAAAAAAAAAAAACACAACCTAGCACCCCGAAAATATTCAACACCAAGGACGAACTATGCCCATTTCGTCTCGATACTTTTATACATGCTACCCTCTTTCCACCCTCCTCCCGTCTAAATTAACGCATGAAAACCACCCCGTCTGTGTTATCCTTCTGTTTGTCAGAGGGAATGTATTAACGCCCGGTACCGCCAGCAACAAACCCCTCTCTACTACCACAGTGTAAATTTTTGGTTGTATACCCTTAATTCATTCTATTTTTTTACCCCCCATCTATTGTCAGTGATGTGTGCGCGTGAAACTCGCGCGCACACATACATACACACGAGGCAACCACCCTGCAATACACACATATCGTCAACGTAACAAACAATAGTAACCACCCCTCGAAAATTCCGTGTATCTACTGCTATTATTCCGTTTACACGTTATTGTATTCGCCATTAACGTTTGTACGCATTACCCTCGCAAGGGTAACAAATAAACAATACTGATAGAGGATAGTGCAGTAGTATATAATACAATTGTAGCATTACTAGGCCGATAGGTAACGCATAAAACTCAAAAGCGAACACGTATCATCAACGTACGTACACACACAAATATAATAAATTTCTGTTTAAATTTCAACTTACCATGGCGTCTGGAGAAATACTTTGCGACCCGTCTTGGTCGCCGCCCGTTGTTGATGGCGTATGAGCACTATGCCGATCTCTATTACCACCGTCGCCATTAAGACCTCCAAGTCCTAATTCTTTACCGCCTAGTGAACCACCGTCAGCACGCTCGTCGATGACCAAATCAACAGGCATTTTTCCTTTTAAACACGAAATGTAACGCGCACAAAAGTTATCGCAGAGCTCGTGAACCTGAACAAAGAGAGTTAACGAAATCAGTATATGATCGTGTAAAAAAAAATAAAAATCATGTTATTTACTATAAATAAATTCATAACAGTAAAAATACAACCGGCAAATGCTTTGGGGTGAAAAAATTACTAGTGATGGAAGGATGTGTTTTTAAAATACATGTGGTACTAGTGAGATATTTTGAAAAGCAGAGAAAGAACTTATCTTCAGGGATAGCAACATATGGCAGGAGGTGTAATGCGACACCTCCGAGTGTTGCGTTACACTCAACATATTGTACACATGGGTACAGTGAAAATTCAGAACTTCTGAACACATTATTTAAAAAAAATATTAAGCCTTATTAAAGCAGAATTATTGATGTATAATTTTAAATATTTTTTCTTGAATAACTGTTTAATAACATTTTTTAACGGTATACCCAATAAAAATGATAATAAGTGACAATCAAGAAAAAATATATTCAACTGATATTCGAATGGGAATTTAAATTTTCGTTAAAACACATAGAGTACATTTTACAGACTAAAAAATTTAATGTTTACATTAATGAACATTTAAAATGTCTAATTACCTTTTCCAGTTCCAGTAAATGGAATCGAAGTACTTGGATTGCCTGAACCATCTGTAAAAAAAATAATAATAATAGCTTAAGTAAATTAAATTAATTAAGTTCCAACGAGTGTAAATATGTCCGAAGTGTGAGGTTATAATTTAACGCAACTAGTAATAATATGTACTGCAATAAATGGGTCGTAAAACAGCATTTCATTAATTATGATCGGTTTATAAAAATAAACACGCATACTACTACTACGTGAGTAATTGTGTGGACGTGACAGAAATCAATTAATAAACGATTAATAATTGATTTATTAACTAAGATCAAGTCAGCCCACTAAGTCCGTACGAATATAGTAAATAGCGATTTTTCGATGTTATTATGCATTTTTGTTTTTTGAGCAGTGAAATCTTATAGCCGTTGTTTTCTCTCGTAGTTAAAAATTCCATGGGATTACACGTTACTGAAAGAATAATACAACGACGTTTTTACGTCGCGTTGCATACACTACAATATATAGAATATATATATATTATATTACATATATATATATATATATATAATAGTTCTCTACACAATATATACATTATACTGTTGAATACTCGTCGGCCAGACGGGCCGACCGACGGTCGGAGCCGTCTTAAACCGGTTTCTTCCACACGTATTCTCTCTACAACGAATGGAAAAAATATGTACGTATTATAACATACATTATACTACGTTGGGGCACAGAAAAGTATATGCATTAGACTGCGGCCACATTACTTTATCCATTTGCTGTCGGCTGAATATTACTTTTATATAGGTAATTCGTCTTCAATATAATACATAAAGATAATATTTAAAAAATATTATAAATGCATGAGCTCCCAGCGGCGTTAATTTTTGGGCGTAGTATCGCATATATGTGATGGTGTTTTTTCTCTCTCTATAACTCGGAGTCCTTCTCAGAAGGATCGCGTACCACTCCGAAGCTATGCGCCTTTCCATATGGAACACTTTTCCAAGGGTTGCGCGTATCTATATTCAGACACTGTACCATATTAAGCCAAACCTACCCTACATCGACATAACACTTTGGTCACTTTGCCAAACCTAGTTGTGTGTACACATAGACCTCTATACATATTAATATCATGATTTTAATATGTACATAATAACTCGCACTAGGTACGTGTCTGGAATTTGTTGTATTGAATGGAATGCGTGTACGTCTACTACGTCACTGGAGTACAATATTTAGAAATAAATACAAAAAACATAATGTATGTATGTTCATTTAATCCTTAGCCTCGAGCTGCGTGATACTACGACCGTTTAGATTAAATGAATCATTTTTAAGTGATTCATTGTAGTAAAATATCGTAAAACATAAATATCGAGACATAATATACTCATTATCGTAATGTGACCTAGATGGTTTGATATTTTCATTTATGTGATGTAGTTTGTGCGATCGCGCACTTCATCTTCAAGCAATGCTGTTTTAAATTCCTTTTCTTGAGGTGTAGTGTTAAACGTAGGTGTTGGTCTATGACACATTAATGGTAATGATCTATACTTTCTTAGGTAATGTTCTATGTCCGGTGCCGTATAACTGGCACCTCGTAGGTCATGCCTCATTGACGCCATAGGTCTAGCAGTTGATCACCGAATATCCGGGAATCATTAAATTGTTAACTAATAAATGCATTACATTGGAAAATTGTTTACTTCCTGCATGTATTGGCAGTGTTAAGTATGACTGTATAACATTATGTAGTTAGGACCAAGGACTACTTTAAAAAAAAGGCTAACAAATAGTAAAAATTAAAAAAAAAAAAAACTCACCAAAGAATCGGTTTCGGGATCAGCGCAGTACTGTCCTCGCTCTTGTCTTATCTGTAAAAATGAAACAAAAGAATTTTAATACATTCACTGTATTTATAATTAATTACATAGGTAATACTTATACGGTTGAAGTATTTTAATATGTATGCGTGATATGTAACAATTGCACTACGTTACTAGTAATAGTAATTGATATACAACATTGTGTCATCTAAGGTTAAGTAGAATAGAGTACAAATTAAATCATAAAACTATGTGTCGAGTGGCACTAAAGATAGATTAAAAATATGTATTAAATACAATAATGTAAATAATACAAATAATAATTAAATTATTTATACTGATAATTTTATTTCGATTCTGTTGCGATGTTTTTAGTAAATCTACAATTGATTCGGATGACTCCAAAATCTCATTAAGCAAAATATTAAAATTTTTATTACTTATTTTGTGTTTGAAATATGCAACGAGGTCAGAGATGAAAAATATGTGCATGATGTTTTGCCAAATTCTGAGACTAATCAGAACACAGTTTAGGTTTTAATCGAATGTACAAAAAAAAAAAAAAAATACACAAAATAATAGAGACAAAAATGCGTTATAATTGTGGAGTTTTAGGACTAGGTCTAGCATGAATTACTAAATTAAAAGCAATTCCAAACGCTTTGCACGTGTTGGATATTTTGGAAACTTGTGGTGTCAGCGATACGGTACAAGAATATTGCCGCCAACGTATATAAATAGATCACGTTAAAGGAGGGGAGCGCATCACGATTATTTTAGGGAGATTTATATTTAGTCAGATATAACGCGTCGGTTGTCGTCATACGCCTTGTATACGATGGTTTAGTTCGTGATTTATTACGGGGTAACCCTTTTCTACATAAACGCTAGGTGTATACAGCGTGATCACCTAAATATAATGGGCTACAGTGCAAACAATACTATGTATATCTACATACTCAGTAATATTTTACATCACACATGGTGTCTGAAAATTCTTAGGGAACGTAATACAGTTTGACAACAACCATATTGTTGACCCTTCTAGTTCTAGTGAAATCGAAGGTCTCTAAACTTAACGTTTTTCTTTGTTCTTAGTACATACGAATTGTAAAGTAATGTATTTACCATTAGGATTCAAAATTGCTGTTATTTTTAAAAGCTTTAAAAATAAATATTGAATTGCGTTCAAATGAAGAAAAGAAAAAGTTTTAGAGTGGCAATGTTTATTTAGTGCAAAGTTTAATTATTTGTCATAATTTATTCTTATCGCCGTTTTAATAGTGTGAATAATTGAAACACAAATCGTGATTCAGTATATTCCAGAAATATTTAACAAAAAACGATTTTACACAAATTTTCCAAAAACAGCTTGAATGACACAGAAATTCCTGTTCATATATTTTTAAGTGGATCATTTCTTTATTAAATTTATAAGAAATAGGGATCCGAATAGAGATGTTTGAAGCAATAAACAAAATGAATTTCTCTTAACTCCATAAAGAATATTCCAATATGACATTTAGAAGCGAGACATATCTAAAAATAATATACTCGCGTGTTGCCATATTGTGGCTTTACATTACACTTACTACACTGAGCTACATACTGAAAACAATTATCGTACAAGATTTAGAAATAATTAAAGTGATGAAAACTATTACTCTGTTATTTTACGAGTGGAATATATAGACATCATATAGCTGTTATAAATGTTATGATAAAAAATTGTACAACAACAATATGAGATACAGACATATGGAATGCAATGAAAAAAGAAGGGAACTGGACTTGAATCACGTAAAAAATGTGTATATATAATATTGAAGAACGGACAGGTTTATACACTCGTCTGTATAGAAATGTCACTGTTTATTATAAAGATAGGCACATAGTAGACATTGAACAGCATTCCTGATCTGGGTTAGGATAATATTTTTTTAATATTATATTTGCACATTGTTTTTTATAACATGATGTCGGTTACTACGCAATCGATACGGATAGTGCTATAAGTCAATTATTATATTGATATAATGGTGGGCGGATAAGGAAGTAGCAGTTATTAGGGTAATAATGATAGTAATTGTTTTTAGATAACAATAATAACCTAGTGTGTATATGGATACGGTAGTAATTGATTTTTTGTTGTTATTATATAATAATAGGGTAGGGGGCGTTTCTTTAGTAGTGGGTGTAGTGTTATATTTTTTTATATTTTCGTAATAGTTTTTAATCTTTGAAAATGTGTTAAAACGGTAATAGGGAATTTGCTAAAATTACACTAGAGCACTTGTAAATCATATTTTATTTACTTACCTGTTTCGAAAATACGGCAATGTCTTCATTGAACGACTCTGAAGAGCATATGCTATGGTCGCCTCCGGGACCCATAGAACCGTCAGTTTGTCTAGGTGTACACGTAGCGAGTTCACACTTTTCAAACACCAATGCTAACAATGGAAATAATGGGTGCCTAAAATAAATCAATAAAACACATTTAGTTTGTAATTTTCTAACGGGAATGAAAAAATTAACTACGATTACCAGTAATCGTAATTGAAATTTAACTGTTTTAAGTGACTAGAAAATATTCATGTAAAAAACCGTACCCATAAATGGAGTCTTTATCCCGCTTGCTGGCGGCATCACCAACGGACGAAGGAGGGATCGCCGAAGCTGGGGCTTGATGGTTTTGTGGCAGGCCAGGTGTCGGCGTGGCCGGACCATGGTTGGCTTGTGGCACGGGCGTGTGTCCACCAAACATACCGGGATGCATACCATGCAATGACGCTTGGCTGTGCGCGTACAGACCAGGTGGAGGCAGTCCGCCAATGCCGTTACTTCCATCCATACCAGGGTACCCCGTAGGCTGTTCATCGTACTAAAATACAAATCAAAATATCAAATTAAAATTTTAATAATGCATTGTTTAAACGATAATATATCAACGTGATTATCCAAAAATTAATTGATATTTTTTGTGCCCACTAGTACTTAATTTACTCGGGAACGATATTATTTTAATCTAAAGCAACATGTATGTAAAAATAGAATATTTTTTTTTATTTGACATGTGTTAATTGAAAATATTAAAATAAAATGCAATATATTTCACGAGAATAGTGAATTTTACATTAAAATCGTATTTTAAGTATCGGGAAATTATTATATTAATATTAATGAGAATAATGACGCACGTGCGTATTTTTATGTTGCATCATTCATTTAATTATTTGTTATGTGGTATTTAAGTAATATAATTTTATTCGTCGAATAAAAAAATTTACACTAACACATTATTTAGACATCTATAATTAAACACATATAAAATGAGAAAACCATTAATAAACTAATACTATTCATGGGATTCAACTTATATATATTGTTTTTTAATATCGAAAATAGAACACGAATATTCTTATCTTAGTGTGTCTTTTTATTTATCCAGTTCACTTAGAATGAAACTAATTTGAAATATATTATACTTAAAATATTAATAATTTATAGTAATAGTTTGTATCATTTGAATAATTTAAATTATTAATTGGCATTATTTTTTGTGTTTTCCCCCCCGTTTTTAATTCTTAAAATAAATTAATTTTAAATAATCGTTAATATTATAACTCTCAACATTTCAATGAGGACATCTACTTGGTACCAACGTACACAATTTTTTTTATTTATTTAATTCAATTTTAAATGATAATAATTATTCAAAAAGCGGATTTCAAGGAAATTTCTCAGAAAAAAAAAATACAGCTGTATATTATTTTTTAGTTGTCGTAGCAAGTTCTGTTAAGAATTTTTAATCCAGTGAATATTTTCGTTTATTTTTACATTTTTGGACTACATTATAAGCATATTTTTTTTTATTATTTGTTTGTTATAAGGAATAAAATAAAACATTTTTTTTCCAAAAAAGCTATTTTTAAATTCTTTTTCACAAAAAGTTTTGTTTGATCTATAACAACTTGAAATAAATACTAATCGTATTATAAGCATTCTAATACAATGAGAGGGTATGTATCACAGGTGAAGTATGAGCTGTAGCTAACCGCGTTATATATTTACTCTATGTAATAAAATGCTTTAACAGATGAATAGTTCATCAGATAAAAATATTGTATGAATAAAATTGTTTAGAATGTTTTTGTCTAACATATCTCTTAACAAAAAATTGGGGGTTTGGTTTCCATTAAAAAAATGAAAATTTAGGTATTTTATTCCTGAAGAAATGAAAAAATAGTAGAAGAGTATTTTGATTCAAATGATTTTTCCTTTACGAAAATTTAAAATGTTTAATAGCATCCAAGAAAATAAGTGATTTATCCTTAATCAATCACCCTGGATATATAATGAACAAGACTTCGACCTGGAATGTCATAAAAATAGTAAAATTTTTAAATGAAGAATTAAAATATTTCTTTGCCACTATTAGTGATTTAATAAAAAGCAGAGGAGATTTAGTAAGTATATTTAGTAGAAGGATATGGCATACATATTTATTGATCATTTAAGTAAAAATATTGGACTCTTAAAACTAAGGTTTAAGAAAAATTTAGATTAAGATGGTCGCAGAATCTATTCAGAGAGTTTCATTGTCACCTAAAAGTCTTATATAATCGCTTCTGGTAAATGGATACCAGTTTAAAAAGTAATTGGAAGTAGTAAATTCATAATTGAAAAAATGTCTGAGTAAAATATAGATATTTATTTCGGAAATAATATAAATAATTAAAAAGTTAGAATCTTGAAAAAGTATATTCAATATTAACAAGTTGTTTAATTTACAATTTTAACTTTAAAAATGTTAAATTAAAATGTTTGTGATTTAGGCGCCTTATACATTTGCACTCAAAACAATGCAACTAGAGTGAACAATTTAGCTAAAACATTTAAATAAGATAAAACTAACGATTCATAAATTTTGAAATTAATCCAATAACTTTGAAAATAAAATGATAAACATTATAAGTTTTCATGATAATACCTATATCATTTTTACTGAAACTTGAAATGTATATAAATACATAGAGCTATGTATAAATAGTTAAGTATATTTAATATAATACTAATAATAAAAACTGACTTTGTATATATACAAATAATAAATCATATGATCTCAGATTAATCACCAATTATATCGGAGTTCACGATGTTTTAATTTATTACATAAAATACACTACATATATAACACTAACACTCGTATATCATTATATATCAATAGAAAACTAGAAGAATTAGTTAGATAAGCTACATACAAGTTAAAAGTGGGAAAAAATAGCTTAGAAAAATTGAAATGACTTAATTTAATTGAAAACGTCACTACAAAGTATCCACATTTTTTAGTAAAAACATCAAAAATAGTCACCTTCTCTCAAATAGTATATTTTAATAGATTACTTCTATAATATATTTTCATATAATTTTTATTTTAATGATCATCCGACAAATCAAGATAGAATGGCTATTGAAAACCATTATTCAAGATCCACAATACTGATAAGTATAATCTCAATGGCTCCACAGAACATATGTAAATATCATAGATATATCAAAAGAATATTTGTAAACTAGGTGACACATATTTTATGCAAACGTTATACTTTCTTTTTGCGCATGTTGGACTCACTTTACGTGCAATTACAATTGATTCTGATGCATCACTATCAAGAAATTTAATCGATCACTTAATGACATCATTACAAACAAAACTGCAATGAAAAAAAAAAAAAAAAAAAAAATAGGAAAGAAAATAATTGATTTTTTATTTTAATCTTAACCAAGTATATCAAGAGATTAGACATAATGTTTTATACAAAGAATCGTCAAAATTATTCATTAGAAATTTTTAATCTAGAGAAAAAATGTAGCCTAAATAAATTGAAGACAACTTCTGAATACTAATAATAGAGCTTATCTTTTACTGATAATTTTGATGAAATATAAATTCTCTACGTAATATTTCTTGAGGTGATACTGAACTTAGACAATAAAAGTGAAAATCTATCGATATGTGATACTATGCTGAATAAGATAAAAAAATGCACGTGACATTTATTTCTAATATATAAACAACAGTATTTCAGCGTTGTATAAAAATGTAACTTCGTCAAAATATTAAATTAAAAAGTATATCATAATGATTTTTTGATAAAATTCGAGACTGGAAATATAGTATGAATGATCGTTAGTATAACAGGATTATCAGTGAAAAATAATTGATTCTTATGAGAGTCCATAAAAGTTAACCTAATTGTCCAAAACTATAACATAATTTGTATTATATAGCACCCAGAATAGATTACACGCAAAATGGTGCCATAAAAATAAAGGCTCAGTGAGGGGAAGATACTTTTATAACTTATTTGAACCACTAGAATAACCACAGCAAAGCGCACCGCATATTGTGCTATAAAATAAATTTCTCTACAATAAGCGGTGCACAATGTTACTGTAACATAATGATTATTTAAAGGTGTCTATTGTTATTCCTATCATTAGCAATATTAAGTAAGCTATTGATAACGTATATTTTAGGAGATGTGCGGGACGAATTTTAGTTTCCAGCGATAAATCACGATTCGACGGCGATTTGCAGTAAGTTATCTATTGCTTTTTTGTTCAGCTAAAATACGCACTAAAACACATTATGGTTCCTATTTAAGTACTCATGCCGTGTGCGATTACCTGCTTACTACGTTATCAGTGTTAATTAACCTTCTCGCACATGACTTAAACAATTTGAATAAGTATGTTTTTTTTAAATGTACTTACTCTTTGTGTGGTCGCAGGCTGATGAGCAGCCATTTGTGAATTTTTCTGGTATTCGAGTATCTCGCGAACGTGTAAAGACGCTTGTAAATGAATTTTATGAGCTGCTGTTGCGGCTCTTGTTAGTACAATATTGTGTTCACAGCTGTTTCGGCGTGTAAAGAAAAAACCTAATCGTGAGATGATAACATGAGAGTTTCGTTATTAGCATTCAAAGATAAACACTAGTTATGAATAGTGAGCGCAAAAGCCGTTATTTTTAGACTTGGGCAACAAATTTAATTGAATCGTTATCACTGTATTCTATTTATGTACAGGCACCACGTTGGAGCAAATCGTGGTAAGTTATATCGACAAATCGTTAACGTGTAGATTGAAAATTTTGTTTAGTAGGAAAATAATTAACACTAAAATCGTTAATGGTCAGCTGTGTTGCGATGAGATGACAGCGGTCACTATCCAGTTGTGTGTCTAGCAACAATTGTATGGCAAAGGCGCGGCCGGACTCGGCCGACGGTAATCCGACATTTTCTGGTCGCGAAATGATGTACGGACAAAAGTGTTCGTTAAACGCACAGATCAAAAACGAATTAAACCAAAAAAAAAAAAAATTTTTTTTTTTGTTTACGGGCGAGCGTGAAATATAAAAAAACGTACGCACAATACGGACGATATAACGCACCACGTACGGTGGACGACGAACGGCGCTCACAAACTGGCGGAGTCTTGGTTCAACGATGGCGGCGGCCGCCCACGGCGACTGCAGCGCCACCTGTTGGCACGAACGGCTTGCCGGCCGGCCGGCCGCGAGTACAGGCGGCGCTCACGAGGGCAACGCCTCGCCTCGCAAGACGGGCGGATCGCGACCAGACACGCCTTACCTAACGCGAGGGGGGGCGCGCAGGCACGCGCATCACATGCGACAACACCGCCTCCTTACGCAAAGTCCATCGACACGTTCGTTGCCGGCCCGGCGTGTTTAGCCGGCGTCCAGAGTGCGCCCGGTCATGATTTCCCTCGCGCCGCCGCACTTAATTTCAATTTTACGCGATCTCCCAACAAAATGCCTGCTCATAAATATTCGTTATAAAATTCGCTGGTACGCCGCACCACACACTTCGGAACTTTAATGAAGCTCCGTACTTCGGGTTTATGTACACAACTTTCAATATCGAACGAAATGTACTGGGAAAATTAAAAAGTCCGTGTAAATAACCGCGAGCACCCAAGTCGTGCGCTCTTCGAGATTTTGCCGTGTGTCGGAAATTTTCCATGTGATATAAAATTTTTTTCAACATTGCAGATCTTTTAATTTTATCATGCGAGTTCAATCAGCTGTGTTACTGTATCACCTAAAAGTTTTGCTCTAATATCCGCGCAAAAAGATTGTCATACTTTCATAGTTATGCGCAGACTTTAATTTTCGAACGTGCCCAAAAAAAATATATGCTTGAAAATCCTTCCTACTTGAGCGTGTCCTGAGAAGATTTCGGGGGAAAAGTATCCATTTAAATCAGATGTTATAATATAATATATTTTAAGATTATTTTCCACCTTAATATATTTATATAACACAAAATATAAAATTTTCTAAATGTTTGAAAGGCTTAGCCCAACATAATTCCTCTAATGATAGTCACGTAAAAGTTAATATATTGTTGGAAACAAATATTTTTTACTAATGAACAATATTAATTCACCCCTCCCTTAAATTTTAGTTCAAATTGCAACTGTGTACCCCTAATAAGAATATTTTTGATTATTTAACATATATTCTAAATTATATGAATATAGATCAATTTAAATTGTAGAGTATTTTATATTTATATACATATGTTATGTATGTATAAATATACTTTTTCTTTTTTTCATTTTATATAAAAAGTTTTAATGTTTTTGAAATTTGAAGATAAAATTTTGATGTTAATTTCTAAATTCTAAATATTGTATTAAAAAGATGTTGAAGAGATAAATACTTTTAATATTGTTATATAAACATAAAAAAAAATTATAATCATAATAAAAAGGACGAAACTCAATCATAACTTATTCTCAAAATAATTTTTTTTAGATATAAGAAAATTAGTTAAAGTTAAAATTTTAAGAAGCAAACAAACTATTTATAAATTACAAAAATTAACTTTTAAAATTTGTTTTAAATATTATTGATAGACTTTTGGACACTGTGTGTCCACTTTGTCGAATCTTATAGTCAATCAGTTTCGTGATTAAATTTGGTATTTGCAACATCAAAGGATAATTTGAAGAATTATAATTAAATATGAAGGACAATTGAAGAAAAAACAGTGCTTTAAACAAACCATAATGTTGGCTTATTTGAATATTATTTTTTATATATCAACAACTCAATTATATTGTTAGGAAAACTATTCATATAGTTGAACTTAGTATAATAAATATTTAACTACATTTATTTAATGAATTTGACTAGATATTAGAGTTGGGACTAAATAGTTAGTTTGTCGCTTTATTGAGCATAGTTATAAAATATGTATTTTAAAACGCCTTAAAACATAATTTCATCAATTTACTCTTTTCTAATTGTTTATTTGTCTTATTAAGTTTACAAATAAAAAATTTAAATACAGCGAGAATCTATGGAATTGAGAAATTATTTTAGATTAGTATTATTTGTTCAACTAATAATAATATTATTCTTTTTTCATCATGAAGTACATTGTATTAACTTTACCCGTAGATATGTAGACATGAAGAAGGAATATTTTTTTATGGATTATTATAAAAATTGAAAAAAAAAAGATTTTGATATGATATTGATAAGCATTTGACTCTGTAGATCATACGACCCTTATTACTGTTCTTAGACAATATGGTTTTGGTGAACCACTACTATCTTGGATTAGTTCCTATATTTGTGACCGATACCAATGGGTAAAAGTATTCGGCGTTAAGTCTAATGTATTTTTAGCGTCTTGTGGTGCCCCCCAGGGAGGTCACTTGTCCCTTATTCTATTTTCCTCAATCTTGAACTGTGTGCATAAAGTTTGGCACCATTGTCATTTTCTTTGTTTTGTCGACGACATCAAACTATTTATGCGTGTAAGCTCGACTGATGACTGTTTGAAATTACAGGATGACCTTAATAGATAATCTGAATGGTCAAACTCAATGGGATTGTCATTTAATTTAACCAAATGCAAGGTCTTTACGTATCATAGAACAAAACATCCTGTTGAGTTTCACTATAATATTACTGAAGTAAATATCTCGTGTGAGTTAAACTCTATTACAGATCTAGACTTTAAGTTCAGTTATAATCTTGATCCTATGCTTCATATTGATTATGTTTGCTGTAAAGCATTTAAGGCGTTTGGCCAAAGATTTCAAGCAAGGACTTTCACTATTCTGTTCTATAGTCAGACCTATTCTAGAATATGGTAGTGTAGTGTGGGATCCTTATACTGCCTCGGGCTCGCTACAGCTTGAGCGAGTACAGCGAAAGTTCCTACGCTTTGTCAGCTACTCGCTCAACATAGTCTGTCCTAATCACGATTATGCCCCTGTCTCGAATTTGCATGGCCTATCCTCATTAGTTGAGTTAGTAGAGTTAGTAGAGGAATTAATTTCTTAAATACATTAATTGGTTTATTGAATGGCAATATTGATTCGCCGACCCTATTGTCCCTCATATGTTTCAGAGTACCTCAGCGAGCAACAAGAAATAATGTTCCATTTGTTGTCTCCCACTACCTAACTATTTATGCAAAAAATGAGCCACTTAGGCGTCCTATGTCTAATGCCAATGTTGCCCCTAATTTTTCATTTTAATTTTTGTATTTTTCTTTATGTTTAATAATTAAAATCATTTTAATTTTGTATTTCTACCTTTGCATTTAATAATTAATTTACATATTTTTAGTATATATCTTTGTCTATGTTACGATTACCTAATTTATGTACTTGTATTATTTGTAAAAAGGGCTTCTGTCTGTGAAATTATAAAATAAAAATAAATAAAATAAATATTGTATCTTCTTCTAGTATTTCGATTAATAATAGGATTTTTTTTTTAGTTTTGTTGCGTAACTTAAAAAGTATTAATTGATGTGTTTTTTTTTGTCTGTTCATATAAATAGTATAGCTCTCACAGGGCAGATTTTGATGATCTATACGTTTGATATTAATCTATTAAACCCAATAGTACCAAAAATTTAAAAACCCCTCAATTTTAGACATTTTATTAAGTATCTCAAATTAGGTAGCCGTTGAAAATGAAAAAAATCAGAACTTTTTCTATGAACTTAAAATTGCAATAACTTTTTCTTAAAATATCAGATTTTCTTGAAATTTTAACAAATTTTATTAAAATAATAAGCTTTTATTTGATATAATAATAATGAAAATTCAATAGAAAACTTTAGTACAGAAAGGATTTGAACAATAACACTATTCATTATATATATATTTGTTGAACATGCTCCAGAATCTTTACTAAATAAAAACTTAAATCTTCTATAAGTCGTCATTCCCAGACATATTTGTATTAAATTATTTATATGATAGTGATGTTAATCACTGTCAGATATTATTTAGATATACTTGCCCAACTATGTTGGTTTTATTTTTCATTTTAAAGTACATTGTATAAGCTTTAATTTGTTTTGGAATATAAAAGTCAGTTTTTTTAACATTGTAAAAAATTGAAAGAAAATCATCGTGATATGATTTTTAAGACCTCACAGTTCCTTGATTAATGATTGGATTATCAAAAAAAGTATTTTTACGTCAAAGAAAATGTCTTAACTATTATTAATAAAAATTATGCAATAATCTGTCCAGTTTTGAAAATTATTGTAATATGAAATAAAAATTACTGTATTTTAAAAACTATAAGTTTTTGGGATATTTTCTTAATGAGAATGAGGGTAGTTCTTTAAAATTGTGGCGCGAATAACTTTAAGTAGATATGTTTAGTGATTTTTTGATTCGTCAAATCGATTTTTCTCAATAATATATCTTTGAGCAAAATCGGTTGGGTTGGTATAATCGTATATAGTGAAAAAAAAAAAAAAAAAATACTGTAGTATAAAACCAATAGCTTCTTAGCAACCCATCGAAACTAGAAATAAATGTAATGTCAACTTATCTAATAAGTGCTTTAGAATTGGTGTTATTGAATTAAGGAAAACTCTTAAAATTATTAATCCCTTCCCATATAAATTAAACTAGGTGTATTTAAAATTTCACAATAATTAAAGTTTTTAATACATATTCAATGGCATATTGAATGGGATATCAGAGGGTTGTGATAACCTCATGAACAAGTGCTCTAATAAATTGTTTTTCGTTATTTTTCTATCTTTAGGTATTTTTTCAAATTATGTAATGATGACCCAAAAAAATCATAAAATTTAATTTGTTTCAAAATAGATTATTATTATTTGAGTACGTTAAGGGAGGATTTTATTTTTAGATGATCAAATAGTCCCGAATTAAAGTCGTTGTAGTCTTCGACTTATGTGAAAAAAATATGTCATGATCTTATTAATATATATTTATTTTTCGTCCCCTTTGAATTAACCCTGCGTACGTCACGTTAAATTCAATGAAATGTACTATAAATTACATATTATGTACTCTTTTAATATTTAATTTGAAATTATTCAATAGTTAAAGTTTTGCAAATGATCTGCTAATTGAAAAATATTTAGCCAAAACGTATTCGTTTAAATACCTCATAATA